CTCAACGGCATCCGTTCCCAGCCTCCTAAGACTTCCCATCAACCTTCCCCAGGAAGGCTTTGTTGCAGTTCTTTCCCAACCCTCCTGCGTTGGGTTCTCGTTTTGAATAGAGCACTGCTCGCGCGAACCTTCCTTCCTTCCTTCCTTCCTTCCTTCCTTCCTTCCTTCCTTCCTTCCTTCCTTCCTTCCCGTCCCTCTCTTCCCCCCTGCCTTTGACCTCGCCATCCCTGGGGGGCTGCGATCTGTCAAACTGTCGCCACTTTCGAGGGCTGCTGGGGGGCCCAGCACAGTGGGTACCCACCGCAGACTCAAATTAGACCTCGCCATCCCTGGGGGGCTGCGATCTGTGAAACTGTCGCCACTTTCGAGGGCTGCTGAGGGGCCCAGCACAGTGGGTACCCACCGCAGACTCAAATTAGACCTCGCCATCCCTGGGGGGCTGCGATCTGTGAAACTGTCGCCACTTTCGAGGGCTGCTGAGGGGCCCAGCACAGTGGGTACCCACCGCAGACTCAAATTAGACCTCGCCATCCCTGGGGGGCTGCGATCTGTGAAACTGTCGCCACTTTCGAGGGCTGCTGAGGGGCCCAGCACAGTGGGTACCCACCGCAGACTCAAATTAGACCTCGCCATCCCTGGGGGGCTGCGATCTGTGAAACTGTCGCCACTTTCGAGGCCTGCTGGGGGGCCCAGCACAGTGGGTACCCACCGCAGACTCAAATTAGACCTCGCCATCCCTGGGGGGCTGCGATCTGTGAAACTGTCGCCACTTTCGAGGCTGCTACAGTGGGGGACCTCGCCATCCCTGGGGGGCCCGATCTGTGAAACTGTCGCCACTTTCGAGGCCTGCTGGGGGGCCCAGCACAGTGGGTACCCACGGCAGACTCAAATTAGACCTCGCCATCCCTGGGGGGCTGCGATCTGTGAAACTGTCGCCACTTTCGAGGCCTGCTGGGGGGCCCAGCACAGTGACGCCACCGCGGACTCAAATTAGACCTCGCCATCCCTGGGGGGCTGCGATCTGTGAAACTGTCGCCACTTTCGAGGCCTGCTGGGGGGCCCAGCACAGTGGGTACCACGCAGACTCAAATTAGACCTCGCCATCCCTGGGGGGCTGCGATCTGTGAAACTGTCGCCACTTTCGAGGGCTGCTGAGGGGCCCAGCACAGTGGGTACCACCGCAGACTCAAATTAGACCTCGCCATCCCTTGCGATCTGTGAAACTGTCGCCACTTTCGAGGGCTGCTCAGTGGGGCAGGACCTCGGGGGGCTGCGATCTGTCGCCACCGAGGGCTGCTCAGCACAGTGGGTACCCACCGCAGACTCAAATTAGACCTCGCCATCCTGGGGGGCTGCGATCTGTGGTCGTCAGGGCTGCTGGGGGGCACAGTGGGTACCCACCGCCAGACTCAAATTAGACCTCGCCATCCCTGGGGGGCTGCGATCTGTGAAACTGTCGCCACTTTCGAGGGCTGCTGAGGGGCACAGCACAGTGGGTACCCACCGCAGACTCAAATTAGACCTCGCCATCCCTGGGGGGCTGCGACCTGTGAAACTGTCGCCACTTTCGAGGGCTGCTGAGGGGCACAGCACAGTGGGTACCCACCGCAGACTCAAATTAGATGCCGCTTTCGTCCTTGGTCTCCTCCTGCAGTCACCTTCCCTCTGCTGCTGCCGTGCTGATGGTTCGGCTTCCCGCACGGTTTTCTCTTTTCTGCGTTCCCGACTCCCCATGTCCTTTTTGAGCCTGTAGTTGTCGCCCCTCGTTCTTGTATGGTTCTCCTGCGCATCATGCCATAGGCGCGTGTCCCAAGTAGCTTACACATCAAGTTGATTGTCCATGCAAGTTTCGGCCAACTCCTCGTTTCCATTCATACAAATGGGTTGGGTACGTCACAGGGTAATTGTGTGGTGATGGTTCCCTTTAAAACCTCTTCCAGAAACGTTCCTAAAACCTTTCCCAGGAAGGCTTTCGGAACCTTTCTAACATCTGTTTGAAGGAAGGTTTGGAAGGTTTTCGGAGGAATCCTTTCAAACACCTTCTCAAAACCGTCCTCAGGATTTTGGTTTGGAGGTTTTTGTTGAGGAATCCTTTTCAAAACCTTCCTAGACCCTTCCTCGGGAATGTATTTGAAAGGTTTTTGGAGGAATCACCGTAAAAAGGTTTTGGAAGGTTGTTGGAAGGATGTTGGAAGGTTTTTCGGTGGTTATTGGGAAGGTCTCAAGAAGGTTGTTGTAAGGTTTTTGGAATGTATTGGGCGATCTTGCTAAGTTTTGGAAGGTTGTTGAAAGGTTTGTTTGGAAGGTTTTCGGGAGGTTTGTGGAAGGATGTTGGGAGGTCGTTGAAGGGTTTTTAGACGGTGTTTGGAAGTTGTTGGAAGGTCTTTGGAAGGCTGTTGAATAGTTTTTGCGTTTTTTGTAGAAAACCTTACACATACCTTCCTCGCCCTCTACCCCCCCTGAGCCCAGGAATATTTTTCCACACATTTTCCAAAAGCCTTCCTCAGGAAGAATCCAGGAGGGGTTTCCGCGAACTGCCGCACCGGCCTCGCTCCCCCCCCCCCCCACAGGCAAGCCGCATAGTAAGGACGAGCAACTCTCCAAGCTTACTCCAGATTTCATGATAAACGGGAACGAGGATCAGGCATATGACAATCCGACTGTTGTGAGCATGGTGGTAATTATGAGGATTAGGAGGATCAGCTGCGCTACTGATGAGGATGCTGATATTGATATTGATTATGAGGATGCCGCTGCTTTCGAAGGTAGTGCTGCTGCTGCTGCTGCTGCTGCTGCTGCTGCTGCTGATGATGATGATGATGATGATGATGATGATGATGATGATGATGATGATGATGATGATTCGTATGACACTTATGGCTGCGATGGTGATGGTGATGGCGATGAGGGCGGGTGGTGCGAATGATGAGATTATGACGATGAGAAGCACGATGATGGGACTGTGAGGACGATGAGGATGATGCTCATCATGGTGATAATGGAGAGGCGAGAGTCTGATGAGGATCCAGAGGGATGTCGTGTCGGTTGTGGTCATGGTGATGTGACGTCAGGGAGGTTGACGATCACGATGATGCTCATGAGGATGATGAAGGATGGTGGTGGTAATGGTGGTGCTGATGATGACGGCGCTGATGATGTCGATGATGATGGTGAGGATGACGATGACGATGACGAGTATGACGACGACGATGATGATGATGATGATGATGATGATGATGATGATGATGATGATGAATTTGATGATGATGATGATGATGACGATGCTGACGATGATGATGATGGTGATGATGGTGATGATGCTGATGATGGTGATGATGATGCAGATGATGATGATGATGATGATGATGATGATGATGATGATGATGATGATGATGATGATGATGATGATGATGATGATGATGATGCTGATGATGATGATGATGATGCTGATGATGCTGATGCTGCTGATGATGATGCTGCTGATGATGATGGTGATGATGATGATGATGATGATGATTATGATGATGATGGTGGTGGTGGTGGTGATGATGATGATGATGATAATGGTGGTGGTGATGATGATGATGAAGAGGAGGAGGATGAGGAGAAGCAGGAGGAGGATGAGGAGGAAGAGGAGAAGGAGGAAGAGGAGGAAGAGGAGGAGGATAAGGAGGAGGAGGATAATGGGGAAATGGGAGGACAACGATGATGAGGCGCAAGAGGGGCGGGATGAGGGTGCGGATGCGAAGGCGGGGGAGGAGGAGTGCGAGGATGAGGAGGATGTCGAGGATACATGAGTGAGGAGTGAGGAGGTGGGAGGCATGATAAGGGAATAATTAGGAGAGGAAACGAGGTTGAGGATGGGGGAGGGGGAATGGGGAGGGGCAGGAATAGCGGGATGCAGATGATTGTGATGGGGGTTGTGATGATGAGGGGGAGGATGAGCAGGAGGATGAGGAGGAGAAGGATCTATCTCCTTTACACTCTCCGAGTCTTCCATATTATCGTTTCCCCTCCTCGCTCTCTCTACCCACTCCCTTCCACTGCTCCCCCTCCCCCCTCGGCCTCCGCTTCTCCTGTTGCCTCCCTCCTTCTCCCCTCGCATGGCAGGTCCGACAGACGGGGTTAAGGGGGTTAGATGAGGGTAGGGCGGGATGTGGGAAAATGGAGGCGAATGACTTCAATTGTTTTCCAGGCTGGTCTTGCTGCTCGTGCTCAGCCTGCCAGCGCAGGCGACCGTAGCAGAGAGTTTGAACGAGCGTTGGGCCGCTTCTTGGCCTGAGACTGGCTCCGACCCTCCCTGCTCCGTGTTGGGGCATTTGGCGCAGGTATCCCGTGGGTTCTCGGTGGGGGTCGGCGCGTCTGGGTGGATCCCCCCTGCCACGAGGCGGCAGGCCGGTGGCCATGACCTCCAGCAGCAGCGCCATGCCTGCGCCGCCGATAGTTTGGAGTCGGCCTTTGCTCCGGCTGCCCCTCTGTCTTTTTCTCCTCCGTCCTCCGTCTTCCGTCCTCTCTTCCTCCTCCCCTCCTCCCGCTTGGGGTTCTTGGATGGGAGGCTGACTTGCCTTTTCGAACTCTGTCCGTCCGCAGTGCTGTCTCGATTGTGTCAATCTCGTCGCACGTGCTGTTGTCAGGCAAAGGGTCATGGAGTGCGCACGCGCGAAGCCCCTCGGCTAACAACAGACCCCCCTCCCCCCTCCCCTTCGACGCCGACCTTCCCTCTGGCCGTGTCAGCGGCCTGTGCCAGCACCCCTCCCCCCCGTCCGCCAGCCAGGCGCCCCAGGTCCCACCGGGAGAGCGGCCCCGAAGGAGGGTGGCTTTCGTCCGACGTTTTCTCCTTCTCCTCCTCCGCCTCCGCCTCCGCCTCCTCCTTCCCCTCCCCCCCTCCCCCTCCCCTTCCGCCTCCTCATCCTCCTCCTCCTTCTCCTCCGCCTCCTCCTCCCTCTCCTGCGCCTCTTCCAGAGGGGGCGGGGGCGGCCCCCGCAGGCGCGACGCCGCTCATGCTCGCGGCGGAGGGCGGCTGGGCGAACGTGGTGAAGCGCGCTCCTCAGCTCGGTGGCTCGACCGATCGTTTCGTGACGGGACAGTCCCGTCCAGTCACTCAGTGGGTTTGTTCGTCCCCTATTCGAAGTGTTAGTTTGTGGGTTTCTTTCCTCAACGTTTTCGCGCTGCCACGGAGGGATTTCGTCTGCCCGGTGACGACTTCACATGATTGACGATCGAGGGTGCTGGATGGCAAAGTCACGGGATGAGACGCCACAAGGCTGAACCGCGCTTCCTGATGCCCTGCCGCACCGGTCGCAGCGGCGGTCCCCGAAGCAGGCTGCGAGGAGCGTGATATCTGGCCCGCCCAGCCTCTACAGAAGGCACATCACATCAGACACGGTCCTGCAAGCGGGCGCCCCATGGAAATCTCTTATCCGCCGATGGTCCCAGGGACCCAGAGAAGATCTGGGCACCCTCGGACCCTCCAACATTGCCGAAGAATGGGCCCCAAGATTTCTGATCGCAAGATTAAAAAAATACCCCACTCCCCCCCCTCCCCCGGGGGCCCTATCCGTGAAGAGTTGGGCGTACTACTAGAATCTGGGGGCCGAAACTGATTTTTTAATCGTCCCCCCCCAGCAACTTTAATCGTCCCCCCCCCTTTCCCCCTGAAGATTCTCGATTTTTCCAAGGAGGAGGAAGGGAGGAAGGAGGGAGGAGGGACGGAGGAGGGAGGAGGGAGGGAGGAGGGACTACTACTACTACTAGTACTACTACTACTACTACTACTACTACTACTACTACTACTACTACTACTACTACTACTACTACTTACTACTTACTACTACTACTACTACTACTACTACTACTCTACTACTACTACTACTACTACTACTACTACTACTACTACTACTACTACTACTACTACTACTACTACTACTACTACTACTACTACTACTACTACTACTACTACTACTACTACTACTACTACTACTACTACTACTACGAGTACGAGTACGACTACGACTACTACGACAGGGAGGGAGGGAGGAGAGAAGGGAGGAAGAAGGAGGGAGGAGGGAGGAAGAAGGAGGGAGGGAGGAGGGAGGAAGAAGGAGGGAGGGAGGAGACAGGGAGGGAGGAGGAGGAGGGAGGGAGGGGGAGGGAGGGAGGAGGGATACAGAGAGGGAGGGGGAGGAGGAGGGAGGAGGAAGGAGGGAGGGAGGGAGGAGGGAGAGGAGGGAGGAGGGAGGAGGGAGGAGGGAGGAGGACAGGAGGGAGGGAGGAGGGAGGAGGAATTGAGGGAGGAGGGAGGCCGGAGGGAGGAGGGAGGAAGGAGGGGCGGAAGGAGGAGGGAGGAGGGAAGCGCCGACCCCCCCCGCTCCGATTTGCCTGCCCTCGCCCCCCCCCTGGCCCTCCAGACGGCCCGGGGGGCAACCATAATTGTCCCCCGGAGAACTTCATTTGTTCGCCCTGGGGGGGCCCTCCGTGGGCGGCGCCCCCTCCCCCCTTATGTGGGCCCAACCAGGCCGGCGAAACTATTTTTTTAAACGTCCGCCCTCAAATGTTTTTTTAATCATATGCCTTCATTACCGTATGTGTTCACTGTACGGCCTGGGGACTTCCTGGCCGGTCGGCGCGCGATCGCAGATAGGAGCTCGCGAGGTACATAGTCGAGCACACGAGCGTGGACCTGGACCTCGTGGACTCTGGAGGGTTCAACGCCACGGACATCGCGGCGATCTGGGGCTTCTACTCGGAGCAGGAGAAGGGTTTCAACTCCAACGTGGCCGACATCGTCAACTACCTCAAGGACCCAGTGGGCCTCCCGCAAGCGTCCGACCGTTTCTGCGGAGTATAATTTCTACACAATTGTTGTTGTTTCGGACCCCCTTATATCCGCCCTGGCGCTCTCGCCTCGGCGCCAGCCGCATTTCCTTCGAAAACGAGGCTTACGCTCGTGCGTTTCGGGGGGTCGCCCAAACTGCCTCCGAAACAGCAACAACGACAATCATTTCAAGACTGTTCGCTCTTAGTGGCTCGCGTGCCATTCAACATGTAAATCCCCAAACCTGGATACCCGCCCTTTTCGTCTCCAATCGTATCCCGTTTGGGGTCATATCTTCCTTATCTGCCACGTGCAGTTGGCGAAGCCCCGAAGACAGGGGGAGGGAGGGAGGAGGGAAGGGACGAAGGGGGGGGAGGGGGAGGGATGGAGCACGAGAGAGACTGGCAGGAGGGGGGCTGGGAGCAGGACGACAGGCGGCAGAACCAGACGGGCGGGTGGGGCGGGCGGGCCCAGGCGGGTCGAGCGGGCGGGTCGCTGGAGCGTCAGTCCTGCGTAAATTGCAGGGAGGTCTCGACCGATAGCGCGATTCCCAGGCAAATCGTGGAGAAGTCCAGATTCCTGAGCGTCGAGGGCGCGGCGTCTGAGCACATCGCGAGGAAGTCCCAAGCAAGACCACGATTCTAAATTCTAGACGCTTCGCGTATCCCCACCAGCCCGTCCAGAAACGACGCCCAGGCGAGTAGAGGGTCGTCCTGAGGGGCTTTTCGGCGTCTTGGGTGCCTCGGGGGGGCCTCTTTGGGCCGTTTGGGATCCTCTTGGGGGCCTCCTGGGGGCCTCTTGGGGCCTCTTGGGGCCATCTTGGGGCCTCTTGGTGCCTCCTGGGCGCTTCTTGGGGCCATCTTGGAGGAAATCGATCAAAGAAGAGGGGAACTTCAATTAGCGCTGCCCCCTCAGGAGGCCAAAATGGGGCCAACACCTGAGTAAAATCAATGATTTTGGCTTCAAAGAAGAGGGGAGCTTTAATTAGCGCTGCCCCCTCAGACGGCCAACATGGGGCCAAAACCTTAGTAACATCAATGATTTTGGCTTCAAAGAAGAGGGGAGCTTTAATTAGCCCTGCCCCCTCAGAAGGCCAAAATGGGGCCCAAACCATAGTAAAATCAATGATTTTGGCTTCCTCGCCGAGGCCGTTTTGGACGCTCTGACCGCTCCCCGCCCCTCCTGTCCAGGTCAGTGGGGAGGGGGTAGGGGGAGGGGGAAACCCCTCCCCGAAGGGGAAGAGGGAGGGGTGGAAGAGGAAACGCTCTAAACCACCGACGCCCAGAGGGCTGGTGGGATTATGAGGACTTTCCGCGCGAGAGCGCGATTTTGAATACATCCCGAAAAAATATCAGGCGTGAACCGTTGTTGTAGTAAACTTGAGCCAAGAACAACATTCGAGTCCCAATATTTTTTTGTGAGGGCCTGGGTGCGAGCCCCAGGACGGGCACGTCAATTGCAAACCCAATGTGATCAGCAATGATTATTTTTCCCAACCATCCTGCGGTGTTGGGTCCTCCTTTTGTAGAGACAGTCCCCGCGTTCTCCTCCTCCCTTCCTCCCTCCTCCCCCTCCCCCCCCTCTTCCCTGCGTTTCACCCACCCAGTACAGCGTTTCGTTGCCCCATAGGGAGCTCCACCGAAGCCCCCAGTGGGACCGACCGCATGCGTCCCGGAAACCCAATTTGGCATTTCCCCCCAACCAGTACATCGTTTCGTGGCCCCATAGGGAGCTCCACCGAAGCTCCCAGTAGGACCGCCCGCATGCGTCCCGGAAGCCTAATTTGGCATTTTCATCTACCCATTACAGCCTTTCGTGGCCCCATAGGGAGCTCCACCGAAGCCCCCAGTGGGACCGCCCGCATGCGTCCCAGAAGCCCAATGTGGCATTTTCATCCACCCAGTACTAGTACAGCGTTTCGTGGCCCCATAGGGAGCTCCACCGAAGCCCCCAGTGGGACCGCCCGCATGCGTCCCAGAAACTTACTTTGGCATTGTCACCCACCCAGTACCGCGTTTCGTGGCCCCATAGGGAGCTCCACCGAAGCCCCCAGTGGGACCGCCCGCATGCGTCCCAGAAACCGCGTTCGGCATTTTCACTCACCCATTTCAGCGTTTCGTGGTCCCATAGGGAGCTCCACCGAAGCCCCCCAGTGGGACCGCCCGCATGTGTCCCACACACCAATTTGGCATTTTGACCCACCCAGTACAACGTTTCGTGGCCCCACAGGGAGCTCCACCGAAGCACCAGTGGGACCGCCCGCATGCGTTCTCCCCCACCCAGTGCAGCGCTTCGTGGCCCCATAGGGAGCTCCACCGAAGATGATATTCACAAGTGCGGTACCCACAACTGCATATGGTTGGGTTCTTTGCCAGGATTATTTTAGACACTAGATTTCAACACCGCTCCAGATCGATACTTCCTTGCTCTTTCTTCGCTCAAAGCCGGCGCCTTTGCTCGCCGCCGAACTGGCCCTCGATCAAAACCAGCGCTCCCGCTTGATACGTATTCGCTTTTTGCTCAGGAGTGGCGTTCGCGTTTTGCGCCCGCACAGCGGCTCCCCTACAATAACAGCGCTCCCGCGTCCTGCTCGCCGCCGAAAGCCGGCGCTCCCGCTCGACATTTTTCCCAACCATCTTGTGGTGTGTTCTCGTTTTGAGGAGACGGTCCTTGCGTTCCTCCCTCCTGCCTCCCTCCCCCTCCTGCCCCTCCTCCCTCCTCCTTTCGTTTCACCCTTCCAGAACGGCGTTTCGAGGCCCCATAGGGAGCTCAACCGAAGCACCCAGTGGGACCGGTCGCATACATCCCGAAACACTCATGTTCACCCACGTGATTTCCGTCCCGAATGTTCGCTTTTTGCCGTCCTTGCGATGAGCTGCGCAGTGAGCACGAGCACGCAGTGAACACGGCAGTGAGCAACACAGTAAACACGCACCAACGTGTTTTGTTTGTTTCTTTGCTTGATTTGTTTTTTGCCGCAATATGCATGCAGCAAGGAATCATATATTGTGGAGGGTCTATTTCTTTGGCAACTGAGCGTTTGCGCCGAACCTGCTCTTCGTTGTGTTCATTGTCGTGCTAGCTGCGTGCCCACCGCGTGTTCACTGCGTGTTCACTGCGCGGTCATCGCGCTCCCATCCAAAGCCAACGCAATTCCATGACAAACTCATGTGGTGGTCGTTGAGGTTGTCGCTGGTCTTCCAGGCACCAGCATGTAACTGCCAGCCTGGAACACAACAACGTCTGTAGTTGCAAGCGGGCGAGACCCACGGGGGACAGGTCAACTGTCCTCCGTGGGCCTTTCGGCGATTGCCGGCCGCCTCCTCTTCGTCGTCGTCCCGTTCCACCCCCCTTCTCCCAAGCCCCGAGAGACTCGGAAGGATCGAGCCTCAGGTTTTGCGGCACTTTCGGCCTCCAGGGGCCAGAGTCAGGCCCTGGGGTTGTCAAACAACGATCGAGTACGAAACGAAAACCTCGTCTTCGGGAAGGGGCCCAGCGGTCTGGCGACGTAGCACTGAAAACATCAAAACATCGGAGGTCAGGGTTCCTATTCTCGAAGATCGACGATCAAGGATCCAGGTTTTGGATAGTTCGAGCCTTTGTGGAGCAGGAGGAGGAGGAGGATGGGGGAGGAGGAGGAGGAGGATGAGGAGGAGGTACAGAGACTACGGCGCTGTGTCAAGAGTCACGCTTGCGGAGAAAGTAGGAGGATGACTATGAGGGAGGGCGGGGGAGGACCTGGAGCAGGAGGAGGCGGAGGAGGAGGACACCCCTGGTGTCTACGCATCCCCCAGTTGGTGCTGGGGCTGCTCCGGGACAGCCGCCTCGTGGGCCTCTCCTCCTCCTGCCCCCTGCCTCCCCGTCTCCCGTTGCCGCCCTCCGAGGGCGCCGAGGCGGAGCGGCGGCCCTCGGCCCACCGCTCCGAAGGACCGCTGCCTCGGAGCACGCCCGGCGGGGGGCCATCCGTCAGCCCTCTCGGGCCGCCCGGAGAGGGCCACGTCGGGCCTTCTCGGGCCGGACCCCTCCGTGGCCGTCTTGGGGGCCTCTTCGGGCCGTCCTGGGGTCGTCTCGGGCAGGGTCTCGGGCGGCCGTCCTGGCTCCCTCGGGGGCCTCTCTCGGGGCCGACGTGAGCTCTCGGCGCGCCCCGAAGGACCACGGCCTCGAGTACACCTGGCGCGGGGCCATCATCGGCGGGGACTTTGACCGCATCAACGACTTCCTGGAAAACGGCCAGGACATCGAAGAGCGGACTGGCCGCAGCCCTAACGTGCGACTTGGCAAGCTGTGTCTCATTCCTTCTCCTCCTCCTCCTCCATCCTTCTGTTTCCCCCGTCCTCCTCGTCTCCCTCCGCTCCGCACTGCGCTCTGCGCTCCTCGCTTCGCCCTGCTGCCTCCTCCTCCCTCCGCCCGACGACGACGGTACTACACACGTTTCTACACTGTACAAGAGTCTTCGCCGACACTGGCGAATTCGTTGGTCGCGCTGCACCCTTGCATTCACTGCTTGCACCTGCGCTACTTGGCTTCGCCATGTGGCCGTCCGGACATAACACGTGCGCTCGTTTCTGAACCCATCACCCGATACACCCACCACTGAGGGCGATTTCGAAGCGACGCGCATTTTCCCACCGACTATCGAACTTGTCACATCGTCAAGCTTGCTGTTAAGGTTTTTGGCGCATTGACGGTGGTGCACAACGTGCACAGGGCTATACCGCATCCCGTGCCCGCGCCGACAACACTGATGTCGGCCAACCTTCCGCGGTCCCTCACGGATGCTTTCACGAGCCGCCCAGAGCTGCCTGGCCCACCACGGGCCAGATGTTGGGCCCCAGTTGGCCCCTCTCGTACGGCACCTCGTCGAGTGGCACCGGTGCTGTCTTTCCACCTCCGGTCCAAATTTCTTAGCAGCCCATGCGCGTGCACAACCTATCACGGCATGCAATCTGTTGCGGCTCGACGTGCTTTGAGGATCCCTGCGAGCAGGCGTCGACCCGTCTCGCGTGCACACGGCAATGTGTGGGACGCCGGTGGATGCGTCTATGTTTTTCCAGCGTTCTCTGCACTCTCATGTTCGTGCCTGCCTGCTCGTGAGCCAACCGCTGAGAGCCTTCGTCAGTTCGACCATTCCCTGCTCCCTCGTCTTGCGTCGACCCCCTTCCCCCCGTTGCCCGCTTCCCCCCCCTCAAAAAGATAATGGAAGGATGGTGCCGCTGGCGGGCGGTACGTGTTTCGTTCGTGCCGCCCCACTGCTGGCCAGAGGGGACCGCCCTTCCAGCAGTAGCCGCTGGTAGGCTCACACTGCGCAACAGAGGGCCGTCCCTTCTCTTGCTGAGGCTGTTGACTTCTGGCTTGCACCAATGCTTGCTCACTTCTTTCATGTCGATACAGGGCAGCACGCGCGCTTGCGAGTCAGGCAGACCATACAATGTTAGCCAGCGTGGACCCCTGAACAGTAGGTTCTTGCAGTCTATGTGGTGCAATCCATGTGGTGCAATGTATGCGATGCAACCGATGTAAGGCAATACATGCGATGCAATATGTGCTGTGCAATTTATGTGGTGCAATCTACGCGGTGCAACTTATGTAATGCAATACATGTGGTGCAATCCATGTGGTGCAATCTATGTGGTGCAACCTACGCGGTGCAGGCGATGACATGCAGTCTATGCGGTGCAATCTACGTGGTGCAATCTATGCAATGCAACCTATGAAATGCAATCTATGCGGTGCAACCTATGCGGTGCAATGTATGTGGTGCAATCTACGGGGTGCAACCGATGTAATGCAATCTATGCGGTGCAATATATGTGGTACAATCTATTTGGTGCAATCTGCGCGGTGCAATCTATACAATGCAGTATATGCGGTGCAATCTATGTGGTGCAATCAATCACTTGCTCAACTTGAAGCTGTCCTCTCCACTGCTCGTGCAAACATCCCACCCTCCCACCCGCAACTTGGTCGCAAGACCTCTTAAGACCGTGTCGGTAGGTACCAACTTGCACGTGGCAGCGACACCGACGCCGACGACGACAGCGACAACGACGACGCCGACGTCGCCGACAACGACTACCACGACACCGACGACGTCTCCAACGACTTCGACGACGACGACGACGACAACGACGACGATGATGACGAGACCGACGACGACGACGCCGACGCCGACGACGACGACAATAACAATGCCGACGACGGCGACGACGACGCCGACGACGACGACGACGCCGACGACGACGACGACGACGACAACGAAGACGACGACGACGTCGCCAACGAAGACGATGACGACGAGGGAGGAGGGAGGACGACGACGGCGACAACGACGACAGCGACGAGGGAGGAGGGAGGACGGCGACGACGCGAACGACGAAGAAGGAGGGAGGACGGCGACACCGACGACGACAACGACGAGGGAGGAGGGACGACGACGACGACGACGACGGCGACGAAATAGGAGGGACGACGACGAGACGCCGACGACGGACGACGACGACGAGGGAGGAGGAAGGACGACCACGGCGACAACGACGACGCAAACGACGACGACGCCAAAGAGGACGACGACGACGACGACGAGGGAAGACACAGGACGACGACGGCGACGACGACGACGACGACGACGAGGGAGGAGGGAGGACGTCGACCACGACGACGGCGCAAGAGCGCGCGCGCACGCTTTTGTTGAAAATTCGTGTTGTGAAACCTTGTGTTTTTGTATATTTTTGGGGCACTCGATTTCGACAGCTTTCTGAAACCGTAGGTTTTTGAATGATTTCGGCATGCGCGCGCGACGACGCGCGCGCGTGCACTTCGTTTCATTCTTTGCAGAGGACTCTCGCGACGGCACGCTCGCAAGGGCGTTCGAAAGATTTCGACATGCGTGCGCGCGAAGGCCGTTTGGTAGGTTTTTTTTTTTTTGTTTTTCGTTTCGTTTATTTTTGAAAAAACTTGAAAGATCTATGGTTTTCTTAAAATTTCGCAAGAGCGCGCGCGCAAGCTTTTTTAGAACATCAGTGTTGCGAAACCTTGCGTTTTTGTATGCTCTTTTTGGCTGGAAGCTCTGAAACCGAATGTTTTTGGAAGGATTTCGGCATGCGCGCGCGACGACGGGTGCGTGTGCACTTCGTCCCGTTTTTTGCAAGAGATCTTTGAAAACTTACGACTTTTGATAAAGGAGTGTGCGCGCAGAGTATTTTTTGCAGAGGATGGCTGGGGGGGGGGGGGGCGATGCCGGTTTGGCTGGGATAGTTTGAATTCGCAGGTAGGGTGGACATTGGGTCAGACTCCTATGTGTTTTGCATCGGTTCCCGGGGAATCGTTCACCCGGGGGGGTGGAGGAGGGTGGTAGAACCCATTGTCTTTTCAGAAAGGAGAAAAAAGTGGGGCAATTAGTTTCTGTTCGCAGTGAGTTGTCCACTCCATTACTCGCGAAAACATCCCACCCACCCACCCGCAACTTGGTATGCAAAACCTCTTAAGACCGTGACGGTAGGTACCAAATTGCACTTGGCAGCGACACCGACGCCGGCGACGACAGCGACAACGACGACGACGACGCCGCCGACAACGACTACGACGACACCGACGACGTCTCCAACGACTTCGACGACTTCGACGACGTCGACAACGACGACGACGACGACGACGACACCGACGACGGTGACGACGACGCCGACGACCACGATGACAACGACGACGACGACGCCGACGACGACGACGAAGAAGATGACGACGACGTCGCCAACGAAGACGACGACGACGACGAGGGAGGAGGGAGGACGACGACGGTGGCAACGACGGTAACGACGAGGGAGGAGGGAAGACGGCGACGACGCGAACGACGAAGAAGGAGGGAGGACGGCGACGCCGACGACGACAACGACGAGGGAGGGGGGGAGACGACGACGACGACGACGGACGACGACGGCGACGAACTAGGAGGGACAACGACGAAACGCCGACGAAGACGTCGAGGGAGGAAGGACGACAACGGCGACAACGACGACGGGAACGACGACGACGCCAAGACGACGACGACGACGAGGAAAGACAGAGGACGACGACGGCGACGACGACGACGACGAGGGAGGAGGGAGGTCGGCGACGACGACGGCGCAAGAGCGCGCGCGCACGCTTTTGTTGAAAATCCGTGTTGCGAAACCCTGTGTTTTTGTATGTTTTTGGGACACTCGATTTTGAAGTCCTTCCGAAACCGCAGGTTTTTGAATGATCTCGGCATGCGCGCGAGACCACTCGCGCGCGTGCGCTTCGTTTCATTTTTTGCAGAGGTTTCTCGCGACGGCACGCGCGCAAGGGCGTTCGAAAGATTTCGGCATGCGTGCGCGCGAAACCCGTTTGGTAGCATTTATTGAAAATCTTGAATACCTATGGTTTCCGTAAGATTTCGCAAGAACACGCGCGTATTTTTTCAGCAACTCAGTGTTGCGAAACCCTGTGGTTTTGTATGTTTTTTTGTTGGAAAATCGATTTTGACATACTGCCGAAATCGACGGTTTTTGAAGTTTTTTTTTCGGAAGGGGCACGCGACGACGCGCGCGTGTGAACTTCGTCCCGTTTTTTGCAAGGGATTCTTGGACACTTATGATTTTTGGTAAGCGAGAGTGCGCGCATATTTGTTTTGCAGAGGATGGCGGGGGGGGCGATACGGGTTTGGCTGGGATAGTATGAGTTCACACGCAGGATGGACGATGGGGCAGAATCATATGTAAATTGCCATACGGAAGGGTGATCCGTTAACTCCGGGGGGGGGGGGGGTAGAGTTTATTTTTTCTAGAAAGGGGAATGCGTTTGCCGAGCTTGAAGTTGTCAACTTGACCGTAGCCAGTTTGGCTCAAGGCTCAAGCTGGCTTAAGTGAGGCTCAAGCCCCAAGCAGTCAAGAAACGTCCTTTTCATTCACTGCATCTGCGCCATGGCATGGGCCAAACAGCAATGGTCTGAAACGTCGAGCAGCAAAGATGTGTGTTAGGAAAGGCGATGGCAATACAGACCGGACCCGCGACGGGAACGCAGAAAGTTCACAGACGTGATCGTAGAAACGCTTGGCGCAATATTAAATGACCAATTTGATCTAATCCGCCAGCTGGGCAAAACCGAGTCCCACACTTTGCTTGCAGAAGTGCAGGCCGATCAATATTGTCAGCACCCTGTCCCAATGGAACATATCGTAGCAATGCAAGGGGCAACTTGGTATGCTCAGGTGCCAAAACTTGAGTACGTCGAGAAGGTTGTCGAAGTTCCCAGGGTTGTACTTGTGGAAGAAATCGCAGAGCAGACACTTGTCATGCCAAGCGCTCGTGATAATGCCAGCAGTGGTGAAATGTGTCGAGGCGGCGCCCTTTCTTATGAGGCGAGTCGCGTATCTAGTGAAGATGGAACGAACAAGGAAGCGGGGGCCACAATTGACGGTCTTATCTCTAGCATTCAGACAAAAATCGAGTTGTTCATCGTTGCGAAGGACGGGAAACATGCATA